CCTGATGCAGCCCAGAGTACGGTTGGCCTTCTGGGCCGCCAGTGCACATTGCCGGCTCATGTCCAGCTTTTCATCCACCAGCACCCCCAAGTCCCTCATGTGGTGGAAGGAGCACATAAGCAGGCACAGGCCAGCCCTCCCTACCCAAAACTAGAGTATTTTTCCCCAGTGCTTTGGCACATCTGGCTTCCAGTGGTAGAAATGATGAACATTCTCTTTGGGAAAGGTCCTCCACTTTGCAGCACTTGGGAATTACGTTGGCTTTAGAATATTGCAGGGGTGAGAGGGTTGTTGCTGTGTAGCTGTAGTAAATGGGTACTTTTATATGTGTGAGCTGTGCCTGGAAGGAAACAGAACGGTGAATACAGCCCAGTTGTCAGGGCTGGCAAGGGGAGTGCGTCAGGGCTTAACCCCGGCCGGCAACTCAGCACCACGCAGCCGCTCAGTCGCTCCCCCACAGTGGGATGGGGAGAGAACCAGAAGGGTAAAAGTGAGAAAACTCCTCGCTTGATGGGGAGAGACTGGAAGGGTAAAAGTGGGAAAACTCCTTGCTTGGGACAAAGACGGTTTAATGGGTAAAGCAAAAACTGTGCACGCAAGCAGAGCAAAACAAGGAATTCATTCTGTACTTCCCACCTGCAGGAAGGTGCTCAGCCATCCCCAGGACAGCAGGGCTCCATCACGCGTAATGGCGACTTGGGAAGACAAATGCCATTGCTCCCTACGTTCCCCCCTTCCTTCTTCTTCCCCCAGCTTTACATGCTGAGCATGACGTCCTATGGTCTGGAATAGCCCTTTGGTCAGTTTGGGTCAGCTGTCCTGGCTGTGCCCCCTCCCAGCTCCTTGAGCCCCTGGCAGAGCTGAGAGCTGAGAAGTCCTTGGCCAGTCTAAGCTCAACTTAGCAACAACTAAACCGTCAATGTGTTATCAACATTCTTCTAGTGCTAAATCCAAAACACAGCGCTATACCAGCTACTGGGAAGAAAATTAACTCTGTCCCAGACAAAACCAGGACAGAGTGTTAGAGCATAACTGCGTTTATATGATACCTTCCACTTGGGAACCTCAGAACGCTTGACCAAACATAGGTAACCCCTCGGCGTAGGGAGAGAGTTGATGGAGGATCACAGGAGTAAGAGAAGCCGAGGTACTGAGCATAGCAAGGGGGTGTTACCTACCTGGGTGCCATCCTTAAAGCATGGTACATACTCTGCTGATGTTGGATAATGTGGTTAACCAAAGAGCTCCTTCGTCTTTTCCCAAGTGCAGGAAAGCATCCAGCACTATGCATGTGGCTGTGCTCTCAGGGCATGTCCCTGGCATGTGTCCTGCTGCCCTTAGGGTCACCTATGGTGAGAAAGAGGTTGAAAGATTTGTCCCTATTCTGGTCTCCCTTTGCACCAGCCGCACAAGTGTGGTTCAGTTACTGGAGGTCGTGAGGCCGCCCTGGATTCGCTCTCGGCAGCGCCTGACCCCCTTTTGGTTCTGGGTGCTCAGTTAGAGATGTTCTGCAGGCCCCCATCTCCGACAGTGCTGATTAACCACTGGGAAAGATCAAGCCCTTGCAGGTGCTTGCTTTGAACATCCTAAAGAAGGGAGACGTTTAAAACATCTATGCGCCTCTGGAAACGTTAGCTGCTTGAATGGTATTTCCATTAATTCACAGTTAAGGCATGTGTTGGAAGTAGTGTATGTGAATTGGCGTTGCTGTCTCTACTGGCTCCTGTGATAAGGGAAGACATCATTAAACACATTCGACAAGCAACGAACACATATTTTCAAATAAATTTACTGCAGCTAATGAATATATACGTTTTGCAGTGGTTCTGTTATTCTTGATTCGATAGGAGAAACCAATGACATCTTATTTTTTAATATTGTTTCTCCTTTCCTCATTGCCTTCCATCGAGTAAAATGGATTTCCATGTGGAGGACACACGGAATGACACAGCTCATCTTTAAAGTTTAGATCAGTTTACTCTCTCAATATTTCTCATTTTTCTATTTCTCTGCTTAATTTGATTGAAAATGCCTGAACAACTGCTTTCTATTAGGTTATTGCTTGCAAAATTAGCATTGCTGTACTATCTGGAAACAGTATTTCAAAATGTGCCTCAAGCAACATACTTAGCATCTACAAAGGCACCAATTTCATATGCATGCATAATGGTTAAAGAAATCCCTGCAAGGAGCCATATGGTTTTGCAAAGAATCAGTTGATGAATGAACGCTAGGCTGTGTAACTCATTCATGGTGGTCCCTTAGGCAGGTCCCAGCGAGAGCTAAGCTATTTAATTTTTTTTTTTTTTTATCAAAGACAATTACATAAAATTGTGTTTGCTGAAGTCGCTGAGTTTCTTTCCCCTTCTCCTTCTTAATGAGCATGGTAAACATCCACCATTCAAAATCAAAGACAATTACATAAAATTGTGTTTGCTGAAGTCGCTGAGTTTCTTTCCCCTTCTCCTTCTTAATGAGCATGGTAAACATCCACCATTCAAATATTTCTATACTTCCTTCATCTGGACCAACGTGATAACAGGCTGAAGAGAGCCAGAACACCGAAGAATTCATTTAGCTGCAAAAGTCACAACCACTCTGCACCTGCATTGATTTTCCCCTGACACGACTGTTCTGGGCTGTTCGGCGCAGGGGAACGCAGGACACTGTGGAGTGCAGGGGCAGAACTGAACACCACCTGCTACCCCTTCAGAGCCTCAAGGTTGAGCGTTACTCTCAGTTTACATCTGGTTTCAGCAAAGCCTGAGCCTGCTGCTTCGTGTCGTGGATCGTGACAGGTTGTTGATTCAAGAAGTTGCATTTCTTTCCTCTGGGCTGGAAGATCAACAAGAGCAACGCAGTTAGACTTTGTGCGTGGTTCTCCAAAAGTGAGCTCTCTCCTTGCATGAGCAGAGACTCTTCCAGAGGTACTGTCCTGTCCACCACTTCTCCAGGATACCCAACTCTGCCCTCATTGGCAAGAGGCATTTGCAGTGGGAATGATCTCCTACAGTGTATCCTGGCATGGCCAACTGGGATGCCATCCAGGGATCCAGCTGGTCCAGTATCTTTGGCCAAATACATAGGCAAAGAAAACCCCAGAATTTTGTCCATTGACACCAGTTATTTGGGTCTGGGGGTTCTTACATTAAAGAAGAGCCATTTGTTCCATCGCAAATGTAAAAGGTCAAACTGATGGCTCTAGGAAGGATTGTTTCAGACTTTTGTGCGATACTAAATTTTCTGGTGTAGTCTTTTTATAAAAGAAAAATCTAGGCAGGAGACAGTTCCACCATTTTCCTAGATGATCCTTTGCCTGGGATTGTTTTCCAACTTCACAATAAAAGAGCATGTCAGGCAGAAAGAAACCCCACTGAACTTTTGAGATCGCTGTATTCAGCTTAATGATGTGAAATTAAAAAGGAGGGTTTATTTTCCTGCCAAAATGGAACTTGGGCAAAAAAGCTTCCCTACAAATAATCCGGGGTTAAAATAACTTTGGTTTCAGGCTTGAAGATGCAGAAACAAGATAAACACTGATATTAAATTGTCACAGAGTTTGTGCCAGTTGGGTTGCAAAGACAATACTGACCTTCCCTGTGAGATGACTAGATGCTTAACCACTGGTTTGATTCGAGCAAGAGGATGACAGTTGTTTGAAAGCTCTGAACTACCTCATAAGGGGTAAGGTCTATATTTAAACAGATGTTCTCAAAGGAGAAATAGTCTATTCATTAAACCATCAATAATGCAAGGCCAAAGATACTTGGCGACCTCCTCCAATTATGTGAAATATTGTCTGTGACAACTCTTCAGCCTATTGTAACGTTTTATAATTCTGTCATAGGAGGAGATGAATGAACCTGCTCTGCACGGTCTAGATCGCTAATTAAATAACCATTTGTAAGTTGGATGGAGCAGGAATAGCTGTAGGAGAACTATCACAAATCAAGGAGCACCTTCCTCCATGTAGCTTATATTCATGTCTAGAATAATTTTTCAAAATGATCCTACAGCGTTTCCTGAAACTGCATGCCAGCATTGACACACTTGACTAGTATCAACGAGGGTAAATTGCTTTTTCCTCTATGGAAAGATCTATGCAGACTCTAATTGGAACCTAATGAGCATTTTTCTGTGTTAGACAATATATGTCCACATTGCAAGTTAATATTTCTACATGAATGCACCCAAAGAAGATGAAGGCCCATCCCATTGCACTGCAGGCAGGTGTCTCAAGGGGTCTGGGAGGTACCAGCTTTTAAGGCAGGACTCGGATCAGGCGGTTCCGAAAAGGAGGAGCTTGAAGCTTGTTAGCATAATAGAAAAGGAGAGTGGAGAGGAAGAGAAAAATCCCAAGCTTCCAGTATGAGGAAATCCAACCCAAATTCTGCTCGAAGCCCCTCCGATGCTAAACCATACAGCAACAGAAACGGCACTTTCACGCGTTTGCCAGTAAGACTGCTTTCAAACATACAAGGTTACCAGAGGTTTCTTAAACAATTCTTAAACAATTAAAAATTCTTAAACAATGGGTTTGGGTCTCCCATTGACTCACTGATGGTACGTTTTTGAACCTCTTTCTGCCTGACGCCTGAGCTGTCCCATCCTTGGAAAGCCACAGCCTGTAATAGAACTGCAGTTGTTTGAGCTGGTTTCTCCAAATGAGAGACTGCACAGAGCTGTGGCTTCAGATACCCAAAGGAATTGCTTTTTTCTTCTTTTCCCAAGGATGTGGAAAAGGAGAGGACTGTTCTGAAGCTGCTAAAAGCTGTGGCACTGCCTCCAGTTAAAATGGGAGCGATGAAGTCCATTCTTGATGTCAAACTGTTGTCATTGCTATCGGGCATGGACAAGCAATGGGTCTGCATGCATCACACAGCCATCGCACACCACTGCAGAAACACCATCCGATCAGTGGTTTCTCCGTTTCAGATTTCTCTGTCCCATTCATCCACCAGGTAGCATGAACCCCCAGTGATGTTGCAGGCACTCATTCAGAGGGGCGAGTCCTCAGTCACCCGTCAAAATTCACTGTGTTCCTTCAGCACCAAGAGTGCCCAAACAAGCAAGCTCTCAGCCTTCAGGCATTTTTGGTATTTCCGTCATCTTTTATGAGCAGCAACCAGGAAAGCCACGTTGATCAAAACAAGGTTTTCTAGGGAATTTCTTTACTGTTATGATAAAAGAATGCTTTGTCTTTATGAAGAGATTATTTATACAGGTTGGCTTTTGCAGGCAGAAGGAAAGTCCCTGGGTTGAGGAGATTATGAGGTAGTTGGGACAAAAATAGAGTGCCAAGACCACAGTTTGAGGGAGAAGGAGATACTGAAGTGTAACTAAAAGGAAGAAGGAACTGTCTTGAAAAGAAGAAGGTAGCAAGTCTTGTGAGCTGTCTGGAGCCATTTATTTATGCTTCTAAAGACATGGTTTGCACCTCTGTGGCTCGATATGTAAGTGGGAGCAGAACAGGAAAATATTTATCCATGTTTCATATATTACGACCCCTTTGTGTGCCCTGGGTTTCTACAGGAAGCGCATCATGACAGTCCCCCTGACCAACATACTGCTGTTCTTTTATATTGTGCACTACTAAGACTCTCAAAATGTTTCACAAACTTTCAGGCAGTTGAACCTCAATACAGCGAGGGACAAGACTTGCAGATCCAGACAACACATACGAAGAATACGTTGATTTTAAGAAAACCGGGTGATAGCCTCCCAGAAACGCTGAGCGCAGAATTTGGGGTGCTGATGCCATCCCCTGAGCTGCAGCACCTCCAGCAGCATGTCCCTGCCCCAGCGGGAGCTCAGCAGCATTACTCACCAGCCACCCATCTTCTGTCTTCCACCTTGTTTCATGCAAGCATTGGAAGGCCTCTTCAATGAATCACTGCTACTTTTCCTCTTTGCACAAGTTTTAACAGTAAAATTGATACAAAATACTGAAAAAAGCAGTGGTGGTGAATACGGCTTGGTAAACGAGAGACAGAATTTTCTTGACTTCCTATTAAAAGCGGCATAAAAGGCAACTTCTCCAAGAGGGACAGTAGCTGAAAGACCAACCTTTTTGCTTCCCTAATAATTTCCTCCATTAAAAATGGGCCAGTTATTGATACATCAGTAAAACATAGCCAGGGTGAGAGTTTTTTTTCTGGCAGAATCTATGTGAATCTGTGGATATGCACAAGTCCGCGCTGGAGCGACCCCTTCAACAGCCTCCGGCACGGGCTTGCAGGGCTCTGAATGTCCAGTTCTGCTCCAGGTCATGTAACTTGAAGTCTAGGAAGTTGGTTTGGTTTTATTTTTTAAAATCTAAACACACCAGTGGCAGTCAGTAATTTCAAATGGACAAGATATATTTATAGGGATAGTAGAGGACGGTGTGCTGGGTAACTGTGATGGCCTTCTCTCATCTTAAATCACAGAAAACACTGTCATTGCCTTTGTCACCACGTTCCTACATGGCCACGAAAGAGGCACAGCCGCTGAGAGCTGTAGGTGCCTGAGTGTTTAGAAAAA